AAAAAAGGACACATTGCTACTAATTAAGACACAAAAGGAAAAATAACATGTTGCATCCAGACTCAAATTAATATTTCCAAAACCAAACCGCTGATAGAACATATCTTTGCAGAGTGTGCAACTAGTCTTATGAAGAGTAATTAAATTATTTAAAATAATATTTAATTAAATTATTTAAAATAATATTATGTTAGAATGATATTGTACAATGGATCGGTTGTTATGTATGCATTTAAATAAGAACTGAATAATTATATATAACAGAGCCCAAAAAATAATCAGTCATTATACATATGGCTAAATACCGAAGGCTTTGATCTTCCTAACATAACTCTCTTCTTTGGAGAACAAAAAAAATAATAATTGATCAGCCAGAACCAACACCAGTGTACTAAAAATCGACCTAGGCCGGCCGCCTCCGATTTGCATGAATCAGCTGAGGCTGGGGTGCGCCTAGGCGGGTTCGGTTTTTTTTTTTAAATACTAATTACATTATTTTGTTATCATATTTTCTTTATAACATATTAATATTGATTTTTTGGACTTAGGTGTGTGGATTTATTATAAGTTTCGATAGTTTGATTTTGTAGGTAGTGAAAATAAATTAAAGAAAAAAAGTATTTAATCGTAATTTCTAGGCCCCGTCTAGGCCGTTGGTCGGACGCCTAGCGACTTCTAGAACACTGGCCAGAATTAGTTTTTTGTTTCAGATCAAACAAGCCAATGATTTCAGCTAAGCCTAGTCCATTTTCAAAAATGGATTAGAACTGAATAAACATGATATAAATAAACGACAGATAAATTATATCACAAAGTCTATCATCTAGACATGAGACAATGACATACCCAAGCAAGAGCAGCCTCAAATATTGTCCCAACCGTCCAAAAGCCCGAAAAGACAATCATCCAGGCACCTCTATTGAATGTCGGGACAAATTCCAAAAACCACGTGTTGATTATGCTCATACCTCCAATACCAACTCCAGCCATGCAACGAAGCACAATTAAACATACGTAATTTGGTGAGAGAGCACTTAGTAGCCCAGCAACAGCTGTAATAATAGTCACACCTAGAATTCCCTTCCTTGTTTTTTTATTTTTTTTAAAAGGAAATGAAAAGAAAACAAAATTTAGCATGAAATATTAAAATTACATCAACATAAACATAGAACAGACTACAAAACATGTGAAAAAAGACAAGCATCTTACTTTCGACCATAACTATCGGATATCATGCCCCAAAAACATGCTCCAACTAGCATGCCAGCAAAGACCACAGTCGATATCAAGCTCTTTTGACCGGGAGAGAGATCCCACTCAGACTCAACTGCCGACCCCACAAATGAGAGTATCATCATCTCCATAGCATCTGAAATCCAACCTAGAGCTCCATAAGCAAGTAAAAGGCCCTGGTATTTACCGAACCCAACAGTATCAAGTGCTTCATCCAGAGTGTACACATGGTCAGAGTCCGTCATCTGAATAATCGAATAGGTAAATTATCAGAGGAAATTGAGTGCAAGTGGATGGAAACTAGTATGCAAAAGAAGACAAAAACCGAAAAAGAAAAAAATATATTTTTTCTCTGGCAACTTGTACAGCTCTCGCTTATTAACCCAATATTTGCTCAGCAGTATTTGTTCACAACCCGAGTATATGAAATGCTAACTCATGGAAATCCATATGCCATACTAACTGAAACACACTTGAAATAAAATACATGAATAATAAAATATTTTATCTCAGTAATTTCTTCACTAATTAACAATTACTTAAAGCTGTAACGCAACAGAGTTAGTTACAAGACAACTCAAAAGCAATAAGCATCCAAGAGTCTTAAAGGAAGCAGAGGATTGTGTTGGAGAATAAATAAAATGATATAGGTAATAGAGAAGGTCCTTTTTGCGTTAGTATTACCACTACTTAACACAAATACCATCTTGCAAAAACAAAATTTGATAACCACGGAATGAATTCAAAGAATATGTTCTGAAGTTGATTATTTCATGGCATCTAGAAGTATAATGTCAAGAACCAACTCTCACCTTTGAGGTTGTTATGTCAATACAGCCCGTGCGTTCGTCTCAATTTCAGCTAGCACTAGCGCGACTGCAACTGTGATGAAATCATAAAAAATCAGACAAGTTAAAAAAAATGAAGAGAGGAGCTATAAAAATGAGGATGTTACTGATTAATAAAAGGAAATCATAAGGTTCAAGAAAGTTAATACCCTTTTACAATATTTGGAGGAAAAAAGAAAAGATTCTGTTGAAGAACAAGTGGGTATCAGTGTCAGAACAAGATCCTTATACATATAAACGCCAGAAATCATTCTCACAAGAATAGATTACATTTTTGCCAGCAAAAGTAAAAATAAAACGAAAATGAAAACTAAAAATTAACAACCCAACTGCGATTCCACCCCTAATTTTTTTATTTTTTATTTTTTAAATCGAGCATCAACTGATTTGATTTTTGAATGACTAAAAAAAACACTCTAGTCCAGGAAAAAAAGAACACCCATCCAAATGGCTGGTCCATGCACACAAACTAACGTGTTTATTATCTTAAAAATCCAAACTTGAGACTGCAATCGACTCAATTAACAATCACAAATAAAATTATATGATTTAAAGACAGAGAAAAAGAAGAACATGAACAAGATTGAAGGAAATCGCACCGTCGGTGGTGATTTGAAGATTCCACCAAGGAACGAGGTCTCAACCGACAAGTCCGAGCTACAAGCTTCCATAGACTGAGTGATTCCGGTCTACAAATTGGCGTGGTGGATTTGGGAGGGAAGAAAGATGGAAATGGGGCGTATACAAATTGGATTCTAATTCATGGTTCACTTTATTTTCATGTTTCGATAGTTTCCATTAATCCAAAATGATGGCTCCATAACAAGAGGACACGTATATTATTATTATTATTTTTTTTTTTTTTCAAACTATAGGAATCTCATTAATAATAACTGATAGAATACAAAGTTCAACACAACAGGTGTAAATGGAATGACCAATCAAGTTGACCTAAAACCGGAACCAAATCACCGCATGCAACATGCAGCCTTAAGCACTATAATAAACTAACAGCAATCCAAAAACAACCAAAGATAGCAATTCTTGAAGCTNGTTGGTTTTATGTTGACAGTGGCAGTTATCTATTAGGTTTCTTGTGTTGTACAAACTTTATTCCTTTCCTGGTTTGATTTTTAATGCAATTCTTCGTTTCAAAAAATAAAGAAAAAAAAACCCTGCCACTTACGCAAAGGAAGAAAAAGAAAATAAACAAACTAACAGAGCATCTAATAACTTAAAACTTGTACATTTCCCTTGTCACTATGCATAGCAGTCATGAGAAGAAATACTATCGAACTCCTGCCACTCTTTTGCCGCAAAAGAGACCAGGATTGGTTCCGGCAGATTCAATTTTTGGAATACCTACAAGTTCCTTGCCTTCCACATCCACCAAAGAATGTAGGTGGATAGTTGGATTCTTTGTTCGTCAACATGCTTATGGTTTACCGAGCAAACCATCGACCACCAATCAACAAATTTTCCTCCACTTTCTTTTGTCTTGTTCCACTGCACCGGTGCTAACTTCCACACCCTCACTGCTTTACTGCATTTCCAAAACAAATGCTCTATCGTTTCCTCTGCCTCTCCACAAGCTGGGAAAATAACATCCACTTTCAAACCTCTTTTTCTGAGGTTTAGATTAACCGATAATATCCTTGAGAAGCATCTCCAAATAAAGAACAAAACTGATTTTTTTAATTTTTAAACCCCAAGTTCTCTTCAATACTTGTTTGTTGATCAATGAACCTCTGTTGCTTTCCGGTTTGTCTAAAATCAAAGAATAATTAAACAATAATTTCTTATAGGCTGATGAGACTGAAAAGTCACCTTGTGAGTTCGGCGCCCAGATGAGTTTATCCTTTTCCAGTGGCTTTAACCCTTTAATTTGAACAATAGCCTCGTCTGTATTGGAATCAAAAAGATCAAAAATCAACTCTCTGTTCCACTCCTTCCCATTGCTTCGAATCAGCTATGTAACCCACTTAATATTACTTTGGACACCAGGTTTGAAAGATATCCTTTTCCCACCGAGATCTTTCACCCAATTGTATTCAATCACCTTTGTAGTTCTCCCATTTCTAACTTGTACTTGGACAAACTTATCAAAATGATTTTTAACCTCTATCCAATTGTTCCATAACCAAGACCCTCCTTGTTTCTTAGTGGCTTCAAAAAATGAACTGTGAGGAAAATACCTGGATTTAAGAACTCTGCTCACCAAACTGGAAGGATTTGATATTATTCTCCACAATTGTTTCAATATGAGGGCTTCATTAAAAATTTTGAGATCGTGAAATTTGAGTCCACCCAATTCCTTCGGTTGGGAAAGCGAACTCCAAGCCTTCCAGTGCATTCCTCTTTCTTGCTTATCCCCCTTGGACCACCATAAATTAGCAGATATTTTAGCTATTTCCTGACAAATATCAATTGGCAATTTGAAACAAGACATAGTAAACACCGGCATGGCATTTATCACAGAATTAATAAGAACATCCTTTCCAGCAGGGGATAGAATTTGTTATTCCAGCTTACTAGTCTTCTCCTTACAACATCAATAAAAAAAGAGAAGACTTCTATTTTTGTTCTACCAATGCCAAGAGGGAGGCCGAGATATCTTGTCGATTTGTAGGCTGAAATGCCCTCCAGATTATTACAAATATTCACCTGGGAGGAAGTATTCTTACTAAAGAAAACGGATGACTTGTCCATGTTAACCTTTTGCCCCGTAAAAGACTTATAGCCTTCGAGAATGTTGAAGAGTTGGTAAGCCTGATTAGTATCCACTTTGCACAAAACTAACGAGTCGTCTAAAAAGAGAAGGTGATAGATAATTGGCCCGTTCCTGTCAATTCTCAATCCTTTCATCCCTCCCAATCCCTGATATTTAGTTATGAAGCAGAAAAGCATTTGGCTTTTCTTTGAGTACACACCTGGTGCTATCTTTGAGTATATTGAAGATAAATCCCAAATTCACTTTTCATCTCCCAAATCAGTTCCTAACATTTTAATTTTTCTCTACACTCCCTACCACTACATCCTTTTTTCCTATTCAGTCCTCATATATATACTAATATTATTGTTATTTATTTATTTTGCTTGAAAATCATAAAAATTTGGAAAAAATTTCAGCTCTCTCTCTCAATTCCCATCTCTCTCTCTCTCTGGGGAATTGCCGTCGTCCTCTCTCAATTCCCGTCTCTGTCTCTCTCTTTCTCTCTCTGTGAAATCTCTCTCTCTCTCTCTCTCTCTCCCTCTCTCTCTTCGGGAAGCTTACCCTCCGTCTCCGGCCATCATATACAATGGTGGGCTAAAAAAAAATGTACATCTGACAAACCGTCCTCCTCTATCTCCAAAACCTTAAACAAGCTAAGATTTTTTAAATATTAATTTTTGATTTTTTTTTAATTCAAAATTTTTCAAAATTTGGGATTTGGTTGATGTTAATGAAACTTCGAGTTTGACTTATATTTCACCAATTATGAATTTTATTGATAAATTAGGGCTCTTTACATGTCTAGGGTTCATCATTTTTCGATTTTGGTATCTTTTTGAGTTAGGGTTCTTTATGAATTAGGGTTGTGTATGAATATGCCATGAATGATGTTTTGGTACATTTATTTGGTGTTTTTGCTGTTGTTGTATAGTAGTATCTGAGTACTCTCATACAAAATGAAAATGTTTTATATCAATTAGGGTAATTGCTCCTGCTGTTGAAATGGCCCGAGGAGTTCATTTGGAACTGCTCATTGGTTTAGCTGAGGTGTTGAAATTGGTTGAGGTGGTGGTGGTGTTGAAATAGACTGAGGTGTTGTTGTTGTTGTTGAAATGGACTGAGGTGGTGTTGTTTGTATATGTTTCTTATGTTTGAAAATCCTGTTTGTGTTATATTTTGGTGATAAACTTAGATGTAGATGTGCCCTTCGTACTTTAAAGATATTATGGGCAGGACTCATGTTGTGCTATCTGACCAACACAAGCAGACTCTTAAAATTAGCCCGTTTTATTTTTTGTTAACATGCCTGATTTAGTCATCACACATACTGGAGTTGAGGCATTAATAAGCACATACATGGCAATCCATAATACTTTTGTTATTCGTGACGGTTTGTTTTTGAATTTTGATCCCACCGAGTTTTGTATCACAATGGGGTTAAGATAGGGTGGTTTAAGTGTAAACTTAGATCTTAAGAAATGGGCTTTTATAAAAGTGCCCCAAACAAAAAATTAATAACTTAGACAAATTCAAGGTTGGTTGAGACTATTTAACTGACTTCAGAGTCATAACATCAAACAGTATCAAACAGCTTTCTGCCCTTGGTCTCAACTGGGAAGAGCAGTGCACAAATTGCACCTAAAATTATTACAACCTCAAACAAACCAATGGCAGCTGTCTTATGGCAACTCAAGACCATATCAACGGCAACAAGAGGACATATCATGCCTGCTACTCTGCCCACAGATGAGGCAACACCATATCCAGTTGTCCTCACAGACGTTGGATATACCTGACATGAAAAAAAATATGAGATCTCGTTTGGTAGGTTAACATAATTTTTCTTTTTATTTGTTTTCAGTTGAAGGGAGACAATCACCTCAGGACAGTAAATACCAGCTAGTTTATAGTTTCCAGTGATGCACATGCGAATCCCCCACAAAAGGGCAGTGGCTATTAGTTCGTTTTGGTGGAAAAACAGCGGCAAAAAGAATATGAAGCTAAATATATACAAAAGCAGCAACGAAATCCGGCGTCCGAATTTGTCCACGAGTGTTGCTGCTAAAATGAGCCCAGGAATCTCTGTATGCAATAACTCCATGCATCAATCAAACAATTATTGCATTTGCATTCACATGAAAGGAGTAAGCACATGTATGCAAACAAATGCCAATTTATGATTCCCATTAATCGAAACAGAAAAGCAGGGGGGACGGTGCTTTCGATTATAGCACTGTTTCTTGTTTTGTCTTGCAAATATAAATATATCACTTTCCAACTTCTTCACAGAGTACTTTATCTTATTTTAACTTAAATCCAAAATACCTGCAAAGCTAGAGATAAATGTATTCCTGTAGAGGCTTGAATTCGTCTTTAAACCAGCCATCCCACATTTACTTTGCACATCACCTGTGAACCCTGGAATCAGTAGCACAACCCCAAAATACACAAACGCATTCGCGAAAAAGACGGCCCAAATGAGAAGAGTAGTTCTTAATAAGCTCGACGAGAAAAGTGTGAACAAAGACCGAAATCCTGTTTTTGTAACATTTTCCGGTAGCAATGGGATATTCTCTGAATGAATACGCTCTTCACCAAGTCCACTAATTTGATCCGAGACAAGCATGCCAGAAGGAAGTTCAGTTTTGTTAACCTCGGCCATTTTCCGGAAAACACACTGCGCATCGGATATTCTGCCGTTTAGGTATAGATATCTTGGAGACTCTATTGTGAAAATGTAGAAAATAAATGCTGCCAAACAGGGCACTGATGATAGTGCAAGCAGCCACCTCCATCCCAGTCTCGGGATCACAATCTTCCATAAAAGTAAATAGAAAAGTTTAGAAAAATAAATACATTAGTACTTGATTTTCTCGAATTATAAATGGGTATTATAAAGTAGAGCAAAAATGGATAAACATCTTTGCTTGACACGAAAGGAGGAAAAATCGATACATAAATGCATCTGAATATGAAAATACTTTCACAGACTCCCCAATACATACCATAGATCATCAAAGGACAATAAATGAGATATAATCCAAAAGTGGAATCCCATCTCTGTTTGACATTATGAAGATGATGCCAACAGCTAATTTTTTATTATGCAGCTAAAATGATGCTTAATGTACTTCAACAGGCTTCAGAAGTTCAGCTGTGAAATACACACTTCATTATAATAGCAGGGGAAGTTTACAAATGTGCATATGTCGACATCTGCTGATGTAATCAAACACTAAACAAAGAGTTGACTACAAAAACTGCCCACGAGGTCAAACCTGATTAATGAAAAATTCCCAGCATTTTTTCTAAAATTTAAAGTAGCTCGACATTAATTGTTTGTCTTACAGAAAATACAATTATTCGTAAGAAAGAGGTCACAAAGGTAAATACGAACATCACGAATTTATCCGTAAATTAAAAGGCATAAGTGGGTTTTGGGTAATTAGATTAAATATTAAGGTAGCATTGCAATTATATCTCTGGAAGAAAGAGTCTGCTGCCATCATTCAACTCAAGCAAGACCGACAAATTTACACAAAAGCATTTAAGCTTACAGCATAACTGTAAAACAAACAAGGAATGGTCTTTAGCAATAAATATAGTCCGTTGATTAAAAGATGAATGAACATATACCCATGCCAAGGAAGCCTCAAGTATTGATCCCATTGTCCAGAAAGTGGAAAAGAAAACCATACAAATGCCTCGGTTTCGAATAGGTACAAACTCAATATACCAGGATGCGTAAACAGGTCCACCACCCACACCAATGCCAACTACCATACGCAAGACAAGCAGTGACACATAATTTGGGGAGAATGCACTAAGAAAAGCAAATATGCTAGTTACTACACCAACACTTAGGAGGCCAACCCTGGAGAAAATAACATTAGATAAATAACTGTGAGCACCAGTCACAACATTTTGCACATCAAAAATGAAATAACAAGTGTAACAACTACCTCTGGTTAGTTCCAAGGAAACATTTTACTGCAAATGTTCAGTACAAATGGTGAATTTTGATCCAAATTATAAAAGGATAAACAAAAGAACCCATACAAGTACAACAAAGTTCGCTGCATCTGCCTCGTGTTTAAATTTTGATGTTATCTTACCTTTGGTTTCACTTTATAAGGATTGCTGATCTAGAATATGCATTTAATTGGTTATCGTAGACTAAATTGAGAAATAAAAAGAAAAACTAAAACATTAGGCATTAACACATTATATTCAGCTCAGAGCATTTTTTAGAAGCTTTATAATGTGGACACAAAGATAATCATTCTACTCCAAAGATGAGAACTCAAAAAGTCTTGCCTTCTACCATAATTATCAGATAAGAAGCCCCATAAATAAGAACCAATAAGCATGCCCCCAAAAACTACTGTGGTTAGCAAACTTTCTTGCCCAGATGAAAGTTCCCATTCGTCTTTAACCAAGGTTCCTATAAAAGATAATACGAAGAATTCGATTGACTCGGCCATGGTTCCAAGGCCAGCGTAAGCCATCACCAGAGCTTGAAATTTCCCAAATCCCACCACCTCAAGAGCTTCGTCCAGTGTGTAAGAAGGCTCCATCCCATGATTATATGCCATCTGTTAATTGAAAAAAAAAAAAAGAACCCATTAAATGTAAGACCAAGAAATCGTTGCAGCATGAAGATATTAACACAACTAAAACCGAAAAGACAATTTTTTTTCCTCCTTTCTATCAAATGCAATACTATACTACTAAGACCGACCCCCCTTGTTAGTTCTCCAAAATTTCATTTTTGTAGCAAGCACCCTTAAAAGTTGCAAACAGATCAAGAAAACAGAGACAGTGTCCTATTTTGTTTACTTGATTTTGCCCCTTGTCAGGTTTGATCAGCATCAAGAAGTACTCTGCTTCTCAGTTAGCCTCATGAACTCAAAACCCAAAACAAATGCACAGACTAAAAATAATTGTTCCATATTCCATTTTCGACTGTAAAAAATACAAATCAGGAAAGGAGCTGAAACCGACCTCCATCATGATGCCTGATAATAAAGCAAGAAAACTTTCGGCAGCTGAAGGGGATTGCACACATTTTTATACTCGCCATTCTGCGCAGTCGAGGTTGTGTGTTTCACATTTGTGGTGTGGGCCTACGTTTTCTCTGAGAACCTTTTCAGATTTGCAAAATAATTGTACTGCTATAATACTACCATTTATGAAAAAAGCAAATTTCTCCAACATGTGGCGAGTTTGGTTCCATCGAGTTGGGAAAATAATTTTTTAAGTTTTATTTGTTGCAATTTGGCCGTCACTGTTTAAAAACGCTAACGAATCTATATTACTAGTGTGTAACCCGTGCGATGCACGGGAAAACAATATTGTGATTGTATTATAAATTAAACATATAAATAACATTAATTATAATTTATCCATTTATTTTAAATTAAATCGGATTGGACACAGTCCGACCGGATGGACCGAGAACCGATTTATAACCAGTCTAGTTCTCTTGAATAAAATATTTACTCTCGAATCCGTCAACACCATGGACTGGTAGGATCAATACGAATATCTAAATAATTTTTTTTTATATTTAAAATTATTTTAAATAAAATTACATATTTAAATAAAATAGAGATTTATAAATTATTTATCAATTAGTTTAAACATTTGAATTTATAAATTGTTTAGATATCTAAGTAATACATTTTATTTAAATTTATTACAAAAATATTATATATATATATATATATCTATTAAAATGTTTATAAATTAAAATTTGAACAAACCACAAATTATTTAATAAAATAGCTTGTTCGTTTCGATGACGATCCAGTTCTGGAAACCTTATATTTACTGTATTAATAAATATTATAATAAAATATTATTTAATTCACATAAATATTAATAAAATGATATATAAATATTCATAAATTATTAAACATGTTTTCATAAAGTATTGTTAATACGATTATTTGAAGTTTGGACTACATCACATTCACGTAATAACATATTTTCAATATAAAATTTATATTTAAGTTTAATAATCGATTTGATGTGGTCGAATTGATACATAACTTAGTCATCTGGACCAACCAAGTTGTGTCAAAATTTTTGACTGTTTTAAATATCATCTAAAAGTAATTCAATCAACCTGGGCAGTACCCTAATTCAATTACCCGATTTAATCGAAGAATTTTTCTTATTTTCTTTAAATATATTTAATTTTATGAAATAAAAATATTTTATGATTCATATAATAAATGTCTACACCAAATGATAGTATATTATATTATAAATTATATATCTAAAGATGATTTAATTATTTTTACTTTATGCCTATTAATAAAAAATAACCATAGTAATTTTCAAAAAATTAAGATTAATTGATTGATTATGCAATTTAAAGAATATTTTTAGCGTTCAATATTTTTTTTTAACGGAAAATATAAAGACCGAGATTCTAAAATTTTTATTACATTTTGAATTGAGATTTTATAAATATAGAGACCGAGATTTTAATATCGTTCATTTTTTTTAAGAAAAAAATAAAAATAAAAACAAACACACTTAATAAATCTTAGCTGGGTTTTTTAAATAATAAAATGAACTAAAGTTCAACATTTGAAGTAGCATTTAATGTTGTATGATTTTTAAAGAAAAAATAAGAAAAGTAATAAAACTTACTATATATAGGCTGCATTAAATTCTTACCTATTTTTTTGCTACTATATTTGGTAAATGGTAATTCTTATTAGATATAGATATATATCTCTTACTATACAATTAGGCCAAAAATTTAGCCAGGGACGGATCTAGAAATTAAGAGTAGACCGAGTTAGAATCTTAAAAATTATTTTTCATAAAAATCATATAATATTTTTTCTTCAAATATTCATTGAAGTTGTGCTCGACAAGCTTCAACAAAAAAAAAAAAAAAAAAATATTATGCTCATTTTGCACCGTATTTGATGCGCTTTTACTAGTTTGATGTTGATCTCACTTTCTAAAGAACGATGATATCAATTGTGTTTTTCCTTTCTTGGTCGAAGGTTGGTGCTCCATGTGAATTTCTAAAAATTCTACAATACAAATAAATAGATTTCTAGCAAAATGAAATACCTACACATCATAAATTATATCCAACTATGATATACAACAATTACATTAGAGGATAAAAGATTAAAAAAATACAGACACACACAAAATTACTGCTGCATACACAATCAACAAAAAAGAATTGCAACTAATGATCCTAGCAATTACTATAAAACCCTAATTAACTCAACTAAAATGAGAAGATAGATAAAGACAATTAGACAAATGAAATAAATATCTAATAGAGGGTTTTAAAATATAGCTTACTATTAAAGAAGAAATTAAATCATCTTCATAAAAATAGTCTCTTTCTTGTTTAATTTTTTTTCTTCTAAATTAATTGTTCCGATGTTCAGAGGAGAGGCATGACCGTGGTTAATTTATTTAATTGGAGTTTAGTGTATAGTGGTGTTTTGTGGGTTAGTACCTAGTGAAAATGGTGGATCAACAATATAAAACATTTTGTTTGAATGGTATTAGTAGTCTTTGGACTTAATAAATAAGTGAATTATTTTGTTGTAGTATGTTGGTTTATTGGGCTGAGTTAAAAATATAAAAACTTTTTATTTCAAACTAATAGTTATTAAAATAATAATAATAATAATAATAATAGGCCTGGGCTTCAGCCTAGTCCAGGCCTCAAGTAGGTCCGTCTCTTGATTTAGCTAAAATCTATATATATATAATAAATATAATCATTTACTTAAAATAGTAGCAAAAAAGTTTTGGAGCATTAAATGCATGCCTTCTTTGGAAACTTTTAAAATATATGCATTAATTACTTCCATATATACAATTTCAAATCAGATCAAATTAGACATGATCAAAAAGAGTTTTTTCTTTAATAATTTTATTCAATAACTTCATTGATATCCATTATAATAAACTACAAATTTTTTTTTTTTGCGATTCATAGTGATTATTTTATTGTCAAGATAGACATGAAAATATATTTTAAATAATAAGCATATTATTTTTTTCACAAATATTGACTTCTCATCCTAAAATATTTATGGAAAATGGTAACATGTTAAATATTTTTTTCATCTTTATTTCATTATATATATATATAAAGAAAAATATATTTTTTAAATTATTATAATTTACCATTTAAAATCTCTAACATATGATTTATTTGTATATTATTATTAACGATGATTATTTTTTTTGTCTTTTTTTTTTTATTATGGTTTCTCCCCATAGTGAAATTTTTTTAAAATATATTGCAAGTATGTTGAATAAACTATAAATCACTATGATGCAAATTAGAAAAATCAAAGATGTTTAATTATTATAAAAAATTAAATTCTAAAATGACATATGTGTATATTTTGTAAAATATTTGTGTTGATAACCGACTTGGTTTCACAAGATTAGAGCTGAAGAGTAATTATGTTATCCGATTGAGAATTCTTTAGTAATTATTTCACAAGATTAGAGCTCAAGTCGGCACAAGTCAGATATGTTGGTCACCGACTTCTAGATGGAAAAACCGACATCTAGACGATCAACGAAGAGACCATCTAATAAAAAGCGACAACCGACTTCACCAATACATATCTACGAAAGATTATTTACTCATCCGACATCCGAGAAGATCGAATTTATAAGTAAAAGGAGCTGTACACATTTGATTGGACCATCAAAGCAAACAACAATCATTGATGTTTCCTCATTCTGCTACACACCGCTTAATTGAAGCTACTCGACATTAAATACGATCTTATCTACCTCAGACAAAAAGACAAAAACTACCGTACTATAAATAGCAGAATTTATGATAGTACGAGGATCTTCTTCTTCTTTTTCCAACACATTGTACATGAGCTTAAAATGATCTCGGTTAAGAACGAAAAAACCGACTTCCTGTACTCTTGTGAATATATCAATAAAATCCAACTTTACATTAATTTTTGTTTTAACACACCCAGCTGTTTGTAATTTCAAGTTGTTAATTTCATACAACAACAGTTTGGCGCTAGAAGGAGGGCGGCTAATCTTCGCTTTGTGTATGTGAGTATAATCAATATTTACAAACGCACATAACTTATGATGTCGAGTTCTGGGCGACAAGAACGAAATCCAGAAGCTGGAACCAATCGTCACCCTGCTCACACAACTGAAAATTCAACTGTGCCATCTATGATGATAGATTACTCCGTTTTATTTCAAGATCCAGAGTTTCTCAGAAATTTATCTAATTTCATGGCACAAACAAGAACAGGACCAACTGTGAATATTCCTAATCAAGTTCCTGCCTCAAATCCTCCAATTAGGCAGCAGGCGTCGCCTGTTCAACAACATGATAACCCCGCTGCATCACATGCAACTTCTCATCCACGAATACCTGAATCACAACGAAATACTACCACTCTTAATCGTGGTGTAGTCCCTGTTCAAAGTCGTATCCCAGAAGCAGCTCAACCAGAAGTTACTACTGAAAGTCATTCTGGGCGTCGTCAACAACAACTGGCACCTTCATTGCCGGAAACTTCACAGCACGACCAACAATCTGATTTACGTCACACGATTGAACAAAACCGGTTTCGACGTGGAAACAATGAATTACATCATACTATTGAAAGGAATCGTTTAAGGCGTGAGTCATAAGAGTTAGAAATGTTGAGGAAGAGAATTTCTGAGTTGGAGACTCGGTAAGATGTTCCTGAAGAATCCCAACGAAGGGGCTCTGTCCTGGAAAGTATCTATCTGGAAGCCGAAACTCCCTTAGCTCCTCATTTGACAATGGAACCACTTCCCTCCAAAGTTAAAGTCCCTCAGATTGGTCTTTATGATGGTACCTCAGATCCGGATGCACATCTCGGTCAATATACCTCGTGGATGGATCTTCATGGGGCAACCGACGCGCTCGGATGTCGGATGTTTTCTTTAACTTTGGGACCTCGCGCTCAAAAATGGTACCATTTTTTACCTCGACATTCAATAT